AAAAGAAAATACAAACGAGTTTTTCTCAGCATAATGGTGTTAAGCGTCCTGTGAGAACTTATGAAAAAAATAAAGAGCTTGATAAATAAGCTCATGAACAACTAACCCCTATGCAAAGTTTTCTATATCTATATCCGTTTGTTAAGTATCAGAATGATTGATAATTATTAATAATAAATAAATAAAACCATAACAATGAAAACCTTTCTTACTCATACAAAAGCACAAATTTTTTTTTTACTTGAAGAGTAACTTAAACTAATTCTATTTTGAGTAGACATGCAATGTTTCTGTGGACAAAAGTACACAGATTGTTTAAAATGTTTTGAACATATATCAGATTTTCTTTATCTTTTTGAAAGTAATAAAAATTTACTAACTAATTTTGAGAAAAGTCCAACTCGTATCATCTTGTAACTTGCATTTTTTATTGGTAATATGCAACTGTTATTTAGTTTGTAAAGTTGACATTATCTAAACCATTCATATAATGGTTTGAAAAAAGTATTTTTAGAATTAGCTAGCTTTAGAATTATCAAACCAAATATTGTCAAATGTCAAGATCAACCAAACATTAAGCAAGTTAAATATATAAATTACAAGTTTCTATAATATAATATCTTACTTACTCTTAACTGTTACAAAAGCTATTTCAGATGGGTTTGCAGTTCTTCACAAGTTGTGATGTTAGGTATAAGACTATTTTACAATAACACTAAATATTATCAAAATGATTTCAATATCTATTGAACATTAACTTCTTTTCTTGAAATATATGCATCTCAAGTTAAATTCCAAACTCCTTAAATTATTTGCAGTATTAAGCTTAACAACTCAAAAGACACACAAAAACAAACAACATACAAATCTATAATCCTATAAGCACAATATATTTATCCATCTAACTGTTCAGTTATGTAGAGAAACTCTATAGACACTGAAACTGAAACACTTCTAGACTATTGTAAGGTGACTGTTTTTATGCTTTATTAGTTTTGATGTTATATCATCATAAACCTCTTTTAATGTTCGTTTTTGTTATAATTTATATTTAATGGTTTACACACAATGTTCAAACACATCATGCACCGATCTAGTTTATTCAGAAGAATAAAAAGTTTTAATACTATGAATATAGTTTCTGCTAATAGGAAAGGGGCATTTTTGAAAATGTTTTGTAATTTCTTTTTTTATTTACAAATATACATAGGTATTATTTTTTTCATAGTTAGAACATATTATTGTAAAATGTGACATGGGTAATACCAATTAACTGAACTAATTTCAAGAAAGTACTTAAAACTATAAAATTAAAATTACAGAAGAATTACCAAGAAGCTAACCACTTATCAGTAATCATACAAATGTATTTATTCTTTTAATGCTTCAGAGCAGTCTAAAATATATCTTTGCTAAATGACTGACAAGTAATTTGTAAAAGAATAAGCTTCTATAGTAATCCTTGCACATAAATAGTAAATTTTGATGAAAAAATTTAAATATTTTTTTTGCAAAAGAGAAAAAAACAATCAAGAAGTCTAAGAAATTACAATATGCTCCAATAATTTCCACTTAGTATATAATTAAAATGATGAATTTCTTTTAAACTAGACAAGACTAGAACAGTAGAACTTTTCAGAGGTATAAATTCTTCATCTGTTAACCACATAAAAAACAACAACAATACTGTAAAAAGTATTTTTATTTATTTAGTAAAAAGAAGCACGATACATTTTAAGCTAGATATACAAATCTAACATTCAACTAGCTATATTTTTAGCTGATCGACGACAGGGGAGGAAAAGCATTTTGTTTACTCACAACCAACTTCTGATGCTGATGAGACATGTAACCTTTAATCTTACCCTGAAAAGTAAAGAGACAAAAAGTTTCTGTAAGAATATTCTATGGTTTGACAGACACATTTACATGAAAAGCTACACTTGAATGATGATGAAACTATGCATAAAAAAATATGTAGTAATTAAATGTTTATTAATTGGGATGAAAACAAATTCTAGTAACAACATGAAAAAAAGAAGTAACAAATATAAACCTTTAGTTCCATCTATAAAAACAATATAGAATTATATTTAATAAAATTTAGGAATTTTTTCTGTGTTTCTTGTCAAACTAAACAATGAAACTGAGTAACAAAAGAAAAATCAAAGTTGTAGGCAATTTAACAAGCTGGCACTAAATATATTCATATGAGTCTTTTATAATCATGGGAATATACTAGTCCTGTAGTTGAGAAATTGGTAAAATGAATTTAAAAGTCTGTAGCAGATTATAAAATAAACTACAAACATAAATCAGTTTTGAGAAATATATATATATATATATATACTAATTGATGTACCCATTCAATGCACAGTAAACACAGGGCTCCCCATGGGGGCCATAGCCAACAATAATCTCCTATGTCACTCCCTAAGTTAATGCCAAGTTTGATGACAGTTATTTCAGCAGTTTACCAGTTATAAGTGGACACACACACACATTTATCAAATAATGATTTAAAAAAGGTTCTCACTCAGTACAGCATGACATAGACACTAAAGTACTTCAACCCTAAAATACTAATAAATATTCCAAAAAACAACTTATTAAATGGTTTCTCATTAATGAATAAAGCCCTTTTTAAATCTACATTTGCAGAAGCAATCACAAATAGTTAAAAAAAGTCATAAATTACTACATTAAAAAAAACATGCACAAGCTTATTTGGTTTTAACATTTTGTATGTTTAAGAAAGGTATTTTATGTAAATAAAAACAAGTATAAATATAACTAAAAACTTATAATTTTTTACACATTAAGAATGATTATGTATGATGTCATTAAAATTCAGTAATAAACCTCATATATAAGATTAGCCAGAATACAGTGCACTTCGTCAAGATCAATGTCTTCCACCTAGAATGAGAAAAAAAATGAAAAACTTTATTCAATTTATACTGAATGAAATACATTACAAAATTAATGATGATAATTTTTAAATTTAACTACCTTAAATACATAGATGAAAGACCTAATGTTAACATTTTCTTAAACTAAAAATGTATTTCGAATAAATACTTACCTCTACTCAAAAATAGCTGTTCTCGACTTATATTGACCTCCATATGCACAAATTTTCACTTGCCACTAGTCTTGATACTTCCACCTACCCTCAAGTGTATTCACATTAGACATCTGCATGCTATCATGCAGTAACCCTCCACCAATAGAAATGCAACACTAGCACCCTCTCTTCTGTTCAGCCCAAAATCACTTTGAGATTGGGCAGTACATACACAACCCACATTGGAAGTGGGGAGGTAAGTATTTATCGGAAATACATTTTTAGTTTAGGAAAATGTTAACTTGTAGGGAAGATGAGCCTTTATACCAAAGATCACAACAGCATGTGTGCACATCCACCGCAACCATTACCATATCTGCCGGGAACCAACATTCAGGGGATGGTAAGACGATGGACAGCAAAGAGGGGGTGCATCTTCAGTCCATCACCAGGTAACATTGGGAATGTATTGTCCAGTCTACAGTAAGAGGAGGGTACCTGGCCACACAGGTATGAAATTAAGTGATCCCAGGTGTAGAGTGGCCAGGGTTCATCAGAACATAAGTTGGAGATTAACTTCAACCAACACTAGATGAACTGTTAAAGGAAGTTTGGCCCAGAGTTGGAAGAGGGTCCTCTACCTTTCACATTTGATCTAGGAATTGGTATGGAAGATGAGCCTTTGTACATCCAACACATCCATTATCATATCTGCCATGAACTGACATCCCAGGGACAGTAGGAAGATGGACAGAAAAAGTGTGGGTGCATTTCCATTGTACACCTGGTCAGGCAACATGGAGCAGGACCAAAATATGTGATAAAGGTCTCTGCAGAGAAAAAAAGGAGTACTTACCCACTTAAAGAGAGATCATGGAGTGCAAAATTGTGATGGGAAGAAGATGAAAATCCATAGAACAAGTAATGGCAAGGTGATGAAGATAATGAGCAGTAAATGTATGGGGAGTGGTCTACATACCAGCACAAATGATGTCCTCCAACTGGAGGACATGGTAGTGTGACAGATGCAAGATACACAGAAAAGACAAACAACATCTGGAAAAAAGGTAAGAATAGGCCAGATGAATCCAACCTGTAAGGATTATCAGAAAAAGGTCATGGGATTGGGAATCAGAAATAGATCATGGGACTGACAAGGAGTCCAATGAATAAGCAAACAGGAGTGGGAACCACAGAAGGAATAAGTGCTTGACATATAACAATGGAGAACCCTCACCAGGCAGAGGAGGCAATCAAGGGCAATATAGTCACAAAGGTGTGAAATGGAAAGAAGGGTGTGAAGGCAGAATTACCTTCCCAAGCAGCCAAAGTTTGGGGAAAAAAAGCAATCAGGGAAAAATACCCCATAAGAACTATGAAATAAGGTGCAGTGGACATCAATAGCAAATACATCCAATCAACAATGTTTCCACATGAACAGGATAAGGAAAAGAGACTTCAAGGAGAAGTGAAATAATAAACAGGTCGACAAAGGTTCCAATGGTGGAATGGTAAGGAGAACACTGAGGTTCTAATCCAGGAGAGAGGCAGGTCAAGGAGAACGGGTGATGTAGAAAGAATGAAACAAAAAGGACAGGACAGGAGAACAGAAGACATGGACATATTGCATAAAAGTACTAGGCAAAAGTGACTCACTAAGATGGAGAATAGAAACAGATGGATGACACGCCGGACTGGGGCTGATACTGAAGGGTGGGGGAAGAGGGAGTGGATGAGGTGAGAACACCAGTATTCTGCACAGAAGTGGAAACCACAGCTGAGCCAACCAAATCGGACCCACCAAAAGAATCTGGCACAAAGTTGTCTAGATAGGTTCAGGGAATTTGATGAATGGCAGGGTAGACATACAGGTATAGACCCATCCAATCTTGACTGAGAACATCCACTGCTTTAGCCAAAAACAGTGGAACAAAAGACCAAAACTGGGAGAGCTGTGAATTGAGATGAGAGGCAAAGTCATCCAGATCTGAAACACCCTAATGGGCACAGAGCTCTTGAAATACCTGTGGGCCCACCAATCACTCTGTAGGGAGAATCTTGTCAGGACATGATAAGTGATTCACAATGAGATTCAGGGCACCTGGAATGTGACTAGCCAATAAACAAAATTTGATAGTTGTGTGCCCAATACAGGAGGTTCAGTGTCCAAAAACAGATGGCTCTTGACTGAGTGCCCCCATGCCTGGAGATGTACGAGACCAGAGTCGAGTTGTTGGAATGTACCATCACTGACCAGCCCTGAAGAACAGGAAAGAAGTGACACAAAACCCAATGAACACCAAGGATCTCCAAGAGATTGATATGAAAAGAGGACTCAAAAAGAGTCCACCACCCTGAAACACCCCAAGCATCCAGACAGGCACCCCAACCAGAATGAGAAGCATCTGTAAAGAGGTAATGTCCTGGTCAAGGAGAAGGAAGAGGAACATCTATAGTGGTGTTGTCTTGATTTGACTATCAGGCAAAGTCAGTCTGTAAGGAAGGAGGAAGAACAAGAGGGGCAACGAAGGGATCTGGAACAAGGCTCCACTGGCCCAACAAAACCCTGAAGGTGACCAAGTGGGCACAACTAAGAGGGATGAGGACTTTCAGAGAAGCCCACATCCCAAAGAGAGAGAGAACTTCTTGTGCAGTGGCAGAAGGAAGAGAGGATGGGAACTAGAAGATCCACAACTGAAGGGGAGTAAAGAAAGGAACAACACCCCAAAAATAACTAGGTATTGCATGGGAGAGAGAAAAATACTTCTCCATCTTCACCAAACAACCAACCTGAACAGCTTCTCAAATGAGATGCTGAATATGAAGGGCAGAGTCAGTCTGCGAGGAAACTGCGAGAAGAAGCCAGTCATCCATGTAATGGTGGAAATGAAGGCTCTGGGAATGAAGAAGATGGACAAATGCCTGGACCACCAAGCAAAAAACCTTGAGTCAGGCGAGTCCAAACTCAAGAGTCAGGAACTGAAACACATACCCCTGATGGGCAAAACGAAGATAATGACTGGATGCAGGGGAGATGGGAATGTGTAGGTACGTATCAGACAAATCAACCTTCATCATCCACAAACAAGAAGTGAAAACCCAAAGAAGAGCTAAATACGACTCCATAGTGAATATGGAAAAATTATGAACAGTGCAGAGCCAACATATCAATGACAGGACAACAGTCCCCTATCTTTTTGAGGATGACAAACAGATGGGAATAAACTACCGAATGAGAGGGATCTCGCCATGTGATAGCACTCTTGTGAAGTAAGTCCGAAACCTCCTCCTAAAAATGCTGACAAAAAACAACATCCCGAGGAAGAGGAAAGGAAATGTGATGAGGGGACAAGGAGGAAGAGAAACAAAAAGGAAGCCAGAACCTATGAGACCACCTTCAGAACCCAAAGGTCAGTGGCAAAGGATCTCCATATCTGGGCAAAGCTGAGGAGCCTGATCCCCCACAGGACCCAAAACCATAAAGCATTCACCAAAACCATCATTTGTCCCGAAAATGACACCCCAAGAACAGATGCCAAGCCTCAGGAATACAAGAGACCTGAACCATCAAGGGACTGGAAGGAGGAAAGCAATACACAGGAACCAAAACAAGCAACCAATACAGTAAAACTGGGGCTGGGAAAAGGAAACAGAAGTATTGGGATTCAATCCCCACAAAGTAACAAGCGACTCCAAATGCTGTGAGTCTAAGTAGAAAAATCCAGAACAAAGACATGTCTGAGCATGGTCGTTCAGAATGCAACTGGTTCCAACCCTAATATCCAGAGAGGTTAGGAAACATTAAATATTGACTCAATGGCTCGTCACTGAGAAGGGCAGGAGTACAATAAGAGGAAACAGGAGATAAGGATAAAACATAACATACCTGATTGATTAAGGCTACAAATGGGGAAAGAGGTTATGGGCACCTTCCTTGAAATACAACTGTGAAGCTTAGGCAGGAGAAGGAAATAAGCTGTTCAAATCATCATCGTCATGTGCAGACAAACCATCACATTGTAAAAAAAGAACAACCAGCAGGGGACTCAGAAGACTTCCTGAGTAGATAAAGCTTGCTCAAAAACCATTGAAGTGGCAAACAAATCAGCTGTAGTAGTTACAGATGCTGTGGTAGATGCCACATGGAATTGCTAATTCATGAGTGAAGTTGAGTGAGAAAAAAGAGAATTTTTATCTCAAAAAAAAATTCTCAAACTGTCAAAATGTGAAAGATTAGTTTGCAAAACATGTGGCCAAAAAATCCAGGAAATTTGAGCAGGTAAGTGAAAAAAAATCTGCCTGAAAACACAAGTGAAAACATGTCCAAACAGTAAAAGTGCCAACCAAGAAGTGATTTCGGCCTGCATAGAAGAGTGGGTGCTGGTGACAACAGGAGTTGTGTCACATTCCTATTGGTGGAGGGTTGCTGCATGATCATTTGCATGATAGCATGCAGATGTAAGTGGGAGTATCAAGGCTAGTGGAGAGAGAAAATTTGCACATTTAGAGGGCAGTATAAGTTAAGAAAAGCTATTTGTGGGAAGAGGTAAGATTTGTATTGGAGAAATAATAATTGATTTGGATAAAATAAACTAGTAACATTTTGACTTTGATTGTACACATTATTTTTCAATTATAACAATTTCACACATTTTTCATATTACACTCCTGTATATTGCACTTTCTTGAGAATGACATTTAAGGAACATATTTTTTCTATATAATACTTGAGCTACAAGATTAGAAGGTTTTATAGCTCATACTTTCACACACACACAAGCAATCTAATTACATAAAAAACATTCTCTAATCCAGGGAAAATTAAAATTTTATTTCTACTACTAAAAATGAAACCACTTTCACCTACCTGCATGAATTTCAAGGCTAAAAGGAAAGCATCAATAGGAATTTGATGAGTTTTCAAAATAAGTGACCTAGTGGAAAATATATAATTTGGATATAACTGCCTTCATTTCACAAAAACACAGAAAGCAATTGTAATGTTTGATGAATTTACATCAAAAACAAAATCAAAGAATACAACTGTTAGTTGTTTATGGCATATTTGTTTGTTGAACAGATAAAGCAATGTTCAGTTTTGTTTTTTTGGGGTATTCTCAAAATATTCCATTGTGCATTCAACCATTGCAGAATTATTATGGGACCTCATTTTATATAAAAAAAATATTAATATTATTAATATTATTTATATAATAAAAATATTTGTAATGGGTAGAACACAAATAGCCCATTATGAAACTTTGTGCTTAACAAACACACAAAATCATTTTATTAAAACAATACAAGTTGTGAGCAAATGATGCAATGCATGCTACTTAACAGTTGATATTTAAAACTACAAAATATACAATGATATTATTGTTGGTTTAAAGAAATCATTCACCAGTGTGCTTAGCTTATATTTATTACATGTGCATTTGTATAAGATAAAGTAATTACAAGTTCTTCTGCCACTATTTTTGATTCAATACACTTCACTACAATAAAGATGTGTTGCGTATCTGCTTGTTTGTTAATTTCCGGTAGAAATTCTTTCTGAGGAACTTCAGCAATACAAGTCCTTTTTTGATTAAACCCGTTTATTGTGTCTCTATACAAACTTTTATTACAAAGTAGTTCCACAGTCAGTACATTTCTCGTCACATTAAACTTAATAACTTTTATAATACATGCTATAAATCACAGCTATTCACAATCTCGATAACTTTGCTCTCTACAAGTGCAAAACACACACTAGCTCGAAACAAAATCATAAATTACCCGAAAAAAAACGCAACTACTGTTCGCTTTATCATACATTCAATCCAACTGGCTTTTCTTGCCAGGCTTATATACTAACAAATAGGCTTCTCAAAAATTTGAGGGGTTCCCCGATAATTCGAGAAATTCAGTCACGCATGCACCAGCAGCATCACATGACTTCTGCTGTCGTAACAGATGGAAAACATATTTTAAGAATGAATTGAGAACATTGTCCAATAAGTTTGCAGATAAAATTATTATGCAGAAAAATGCTACAAAGTTCCTTACAAAACAGTAAATTTCTACTGGTTACATGATAAGCAGAATAAAAAAAAAGTAAAATGTTAAAGTAGCTACTTATGGTAAAGTATTACTTGTCTACAATTTTATATTGTGAAAGTTCCAAACTTTTTTTAGAGATATTGTTTGAAAAAAGAACAAAAAAACATTAAAAGTATTTCCTTTTGTATAAGCCTTTCAATTTTTTTTTCATTGTTGATCAAAAAGCTCCTCATTAGGTGTACAGCCAGTTTCAGTTTAATTAATATTCATAAGCACATTTCTTTTGATATTTTATTTTGACAAATGCAGTAGTCCCCACTTCTAGGAATAAATCATCATAAAACACTGCAAAACCTGATAAAGATTTACTGATGACCTATGGCTTGACCTGTCACAATGGCATCAGGTCAGGCTAGATAGTCATTCAGATCACATGCTATGAACATCAGAAAAGGGGGTGGGGAAAAGGCCTTGTAATAATAAAACCTTAAACAGAAAAGGGAAATTAGGAGAAAATAAGATTTGGCTACTTGTATTTTCAAAAGAAAATAGTTTCTTGATATACAAAAACCTATTATTTGGGATAAGCACAAAAATGAAAAAAAAAAAAGTGTTTTTACAGAGGAGACTTTTCAGAGCTGTGGAGTAGATGCATTAATAAGGGATTCAAATCCTAAATGTCAGAGATCAAAAACTGAGCATGTTATACAATAGATGCCATTAAAAAAATTATGATTACTAGGCCTCTTATAATTACCTAACAGGTTTATTCAGAGTGAATTCTGGTGTCTTGTGAACTATACAAGATTGAAGCAGTATTGAAAAATATATCTTTAAGGTTTAGAAAAAAAGAATTAAAACTCATGAAAATTAAACTGAAACAAATAAAATTTCACTGGTGAAACAAAATAATCAGTTAAAGTAAATGATCCAGGATCATAAATGCCACAAGTGAACGTAACAATCACCAGTTGCATTATAATGTAATACAGTTGAAAAGGAGTGCAGACATCGATTCATAAACAAAAAGAAGCCTTTACACTTTTATATCCATCTCAACAAAGAATGTCCTCAGCAAAACAAGAATAAATTTCTGCAAAGCATTTGTATTAGGGAACAACTACAACCACAATAAACAGGTAACAGTTAATGCAGTAGATAAACCACTTAATTATCTAACCCTAAGATATAGGGTTTTAATCCTATATATGACAGAGGATCATAAATATTTCATATGACAACAAATGAAACACATTTATCAGTCCAAACATAACATTAAGATAAATACAGTCTGATTATATTAGATCAAAAAATAAATTACATGTTTATTGTAAACCAGTAATTTGAAATAGCCCATTAAAACAAGTATTTAATGCATAATCATCTATTACATCACAATCAGTATTTCTTAATATGTTTTTTCCTATCTAGCAAAATTCAGATTGCACTACACTACCAAATTAACAAATAACATTCACTGTCACCTGTACATATCATACAAAATGAGCTTGATATCAAGCTAATTAAAAAATGCTCTTTCAAAGTGATTAATATTTAATTAATGTATTATAAATAAGTGATCAAGCTAACAACTGGCTTTTCTTTACACTTCCTAATCAATTGGCATATAAACCAAATACAAATAAAGCTTTTACCATGCAAAGGTTTAATGACATTTTTGAAAGTTTTTAAGTGTATAATATTTTCCTTCACATTTGAACATTTAAAATGTTTTCAATCGTGCATTTCCCAAGATATGTTTCTTCAATACATCCCAATTTATTTCCTTTAAAAAGCTAAATATTTTGCAAACTGTCCAAATTTTAAAATTTCCCTCAAATAAAAAAATGATCACAAAATGTAAATTTGAAGACTTGCATAATAGCAATATGCAGTAATATTGTTTATTATGTTAAAACAAAATTCAAAATAATACTGAAATACTTACACTTTTTTGAACAAATTTCTGTAGGTAATGATTTTCAATTTTTCCAGGATCAGGTAGATACCACACTTGATAAAGAAAGCCTCATTTGCTGTCATAGCTGCACTGAGACGTAGTAAGTTTCCTTCACTAGAATTTAAATTAAGAAAGAGGTAAGTTTAGTGTAACAGAAAATAGTTCAATTTGTATGAAGGCCTACCAAATACAAAATCAGTTATCTTTTCTCCCAAAAGAGTCAACCAGTATAACTTACTCAGGCAATAAGAAGTTCTCATAAGACACCACATTTATTAACTTACTGCGTAATGTGACTGTTTTCTAATTACCAAAAACTATTTCAAAACAAATACAACAAATTTAAGAAATCAACACATCATATTAACTAAACTTTCTAAAAATAAATCTTAAAAAGGTTTTCACTGAAATGAATTATTGCTTTGTACCTTTTATTACAATAAAAATATATAAAACCTAATTGTCGTCAGATAGAAAATTTGTATTCATTGAGGAAAAACTGATTTTGTGTTGAGATACAGAGGTTGAATACATTACATTAAAACAATTTTGGAACCTCACCATGTTGCTAGAGTCCATGTACAACTTCAGTAATTGTTATGGTACAAAAGAGTCCAGAACATTGATGTGATACTAAGAAAAGTTCACTTTAAACTTTGTATCCTCTCCCTCCTGATCCTTAATTTGCCTTTGGCACAGCATACAGTAATGATCATGATTTCCTTTGAAAAAGTTTAGTCACATACCATGTATACCACTTTTGGAAACTTTTTTCATCCACTGACTAACAGAAATGGCCCATAACTCATTACAGTTATAAAGGTACACATATGCTTTGTCAAGTGTCACTACATACTGCTATTTTTACCCAGTTAGGTACAATTCATACAGTTATATACTGTTTGTTGTCCTTTCTTGGGTGTGTCATGAAAACAGCTTATGTACACTCTATTTTTCCAAGTAGAGAGCCTTCTTGGTTATATTGCATATTGTTGCCTGGGGCACATGAATGCTTAAAGCCACTGATCATTATGTTTGTTGATTCTCATCTGTTATAAGAAATGGAAATTTGCTTATCATGGCTGGGGTACAGCTTGTTGCAGGTCTTTTTCTGGCTGGTCTTAGTTCCCCAAGTTGATCCAAACTCCACTGTTTTCAACTATCATTAACCCTTTCAAGACGGGTCTCAGGTGAAAGGCCATGTCATCTCATTTTATTCAACTACTATTTCATGAATTTATGTCAATAAGTTTGGTATCAAACAGTAATTATAATTGAACTTGTAGTACTATATATTACTCAATTTCTTAATTTAAAAGCAAGTATTAAAAAAGCACAGAAAAACATTGATTTTTGTGTGTCACATGGTATGTTGAATGCAGCACTGGTTCAAATTAGATGTTTGTGAAGTCAAAATACTAAGTCTATAGTTTCGAACGAATTAAAAACCATATTAGCTCCTGTAATAAATCAAACCTAGTGGCCACCCGTCCACCTCTTTTCATTTTTGGAAATGCTCCCCTATATACACTTATGTCTATATATGACATGAATAACTAATTGGAAGCTCAGAATGTCCCCCTAGTGGCTTTCTTTGCCATTTTACCAGACTTGGCACCATTTCTTTTGAACCAATATTTCAATGAGGTAGGGTGTGTCTTTAGTCTGCTCAAAATTTTTTTAGAGTAAAATACATCTTAGTTACTAAGCTTTATAAATTATAGTGGAAATCTATGGTATTATTGTAGTAATTTATGATATTTTAGTTATTCAAATGTATATATAAAACCTAAAAAAATATATTTTGTTTCATATCCTCCAGGTGCAAAGTTTTTAAAGGCTTAGCAACCTACGTCAAGCAGCAACCGAGTAAAAAGGTCGTAACTAGAAAAGATAATTGTTTGCTTTACTTCTTTATTTATTGTTCTATATTTTAGGAAAAATATGTTTAAGAACTTATTTAAAAATAGCAACAATCTATATACATATATAATGTATAATAATTGAAATGTGACTGTATTTTACAAAATACTAGTCTACTAAAACACAGCCAAGACAAGTTACTTTGCACAGACCAAAGTTCAGTTTTATGTTATTTGATATGGTAACATGAGTGCATGTGACCCACATCATTGTAACTTCTGTATTGTTAGGCAGGCACGGTTGAAAAGTAAATATAATTAAAATAATAAATATATATATAAATGTATAATGTTATGAAATGTAAGCTATTTAGTCTAAATATTTATGTTTTTGTGTTATAATTTGTGTTCATTCTAGAATAAAAGAAGCATAATTTATGTTTCTTTCCTAATTTTGTATGGTGGTTGCAAGATCGGTCAACTCTACCGAACCCGTACAAAGATTAATTACTGAAAATAACACATAAAACAAAAAGATTTTTCTAAGAAATGTTTGATAACTATCTTGACATTATAAAGATTTTGCAAGTGAAATTTCAAAATTTTCTGATGCATAAAACTATTTTTTATCTAAAATGAATATTACTTTGCATGATAGACAGGCAACATGCGAAAATAAAAAATTGACATGAGAAAAACATTGCTTTATAAACCTGATATTTTATAAACATTAAAACTTAATAAAAAAATCTGATATTTTGCATATGAAAGCACTGTAATGTTTACAGATAATTTGCCAAATTTCATTAACATTCGCATACTAATTTAAAAGTTATAGCATGAAAACTATAACAAGCAAAAAATGGTTATGAGGTCAGTCCCAGGGACCAAGCCCATGTTGAAAGAGTTAAGCACAGATGATATCTTCATCTTGGAAATTCTAAATTAACAATCTGAACACATATTTATGACCTGAATGTATGAATATTTTGTGTGAAAAATGGCTGCTACATATCCCACCAAAAGCAATAAATTTTTGGTAGCATCACACTACTTATGAAATGTCAAACAATAGCTCTGATACATGCTATTTTACTGCAACTTTATATCAGCTGTGGTTGTCACTTGACTTGTGGATTTACATATTCAAAATTATTTAAAAAAAAAACTTACTCAACTCTATGTATAACTACAGACAAAACAAGATGGTTATCTCTCAGAAAATAGGAATATCATTATAATACTCACGTAACAGCTTTCACAACTTCAGAGAATTGTTTAAGATCATATTTTGTTAACAACTGCATGCTTGGCATGTGACCCTTTGGAAAAAATTAAAACAGACAAGAAAATGCTAAATAGTACAAAATACCTATTACATAATTTGAAGCGGAGTATAAGATTAAGTAAATAATAAACATTTTTACAAGATAAAAAAAAAGAAAGCACAAAAGAATCTCATTCATTTATAAAATATGCCAAATACAAAGTTTCTATAGTATGTGTGTGAGTAGTCATATCCATTAGACATTTAAAATACATAGAAAACCTGCATCTAGTTTTCTTTACATTCTATACATTTCAGAAAATACAATAACTCTTACCAGCAGCATCTTTACAGGAATTAAGTAAATCAGAATTAATCGTTTGTTTCTTGTCGCCTTCTTGTGACATTTTTGGAATGAGAAAGTGAGATATTCCTCAGCTGATCAAGAAAAAAAACATGACCTTCAGTTAAAAAAAGACATCACGTGTAACATAACAGATATTTTCAACTAGTCAAGAAAAAACATTAATAAAAAAGTCACATGCTAACGTTAACAATGTTTCTCCACTATTCAAAGAGAAAAACTAGAAGTCTATCAGCAAACTGACATGTTACCAAATTAGAAATCAAATTCAATTTAGTACAGCTACTCATTTCTGTATCACATAAATTGAGTTATGTGTAAACACACTAATGAAAATTTCTCCCCTTTCTTTTCATGTTCATTCTGGCTACTTTAAAATTACACATACATATAATGCCTGTGCATCACTGACTTCACCAGCGGAACTTCCCTTTTATAATAACAAAACAATAGAAGGAAATTTACTGACCATAATATGACATGCAAGTAGCCTTTAACCAACAATAATGGAACTATATAATGAACAGAAAGTGAAACTTAGAAGTTAAATGATCTGAAGAAAATATAAACTGCTAACTTTCCAAATATATTCTCGTAATCAACATATAAATATAGTTCTCTTACAGTAATCACAAGGTGGTCATTAGTGGAGAAAATCCCAACCAACTTACAATGATAAAATGCAAGTTGGACTTCTAGGAATTCACAAAAGATAACCTGTGAGAGTAATAGCATCATTACAAATGGTTTAACCTTATGTGCACAGGTGGGGGTCAAAAAGTGCATGCCTCAACCTTTTACAGTAACATTCAGATTGTCAACTATTCATTTTGCCTTACATTGCTGATTTAGTGGTAGAGAAAATATCAGATACAATATACAGGGATACTGAAAAAAAAACTATAGATAATACATTTTGGTGGTTCTAGAAGTTATGCAAATGCAATATGCAAACTGTACAATGGACAAAAGTATTTTTATTTTTCACATGATTTGCTTGTTTGTCATTGCACAAAGGTACACAATGGGCTATCTATGCTCTACCAACCATGGGTATCGAAACCTGGTTTCTAGCGTTGTAAGTCCGCAGACATACCGCGGTGACACTGGGGGTGCTTTTTCACATGAACATCACCTTACAATCCAACTAGTAAGAGTCCGAGTCAGATTGATATTGTTAACTCACAGACATATCTTGAGTACAAATACAAATATCTGATATTTTGTGTAAAACAGACTTCTACATCTTATTAAAAGTTTGCCACCTTTTCCATAGATACACTTTGTAAGTTTGGTATTATTGTCAACATCCCTTCTCTAATACAGGGTCTGTCCATTGCACTGACCCGATGCATATTTGGCTAAAAACCCAGAACTGCAAAGAATAACACTGCAGAAAAATCTTAAAATTTTCAAAAGATGGATTTTTAGCATGAATGATACTGATGTGTTTCTGTTTGTTTGTTTGTTTTACCGCAAAGCTACATGAGGGAAGGCAGCTAGTCATCACCATCCACCACCAACTCTTGGGCTACTCTTTTACCAACAAATAGTGGGATTGACCACCAATTTATAATGCCCTCCATGGCTGAAAGGGCAAGCATGTTTGGTGGGACGGGGATTCAAACTCACGACCCTCAGATTGCGAGTCGAGCACCCTAGCCACTTGGCCATGCCGGGCCAATGTGTTTCTAGAGCCTTTTCGTTTGCATTGATATACACTAAAGTAAAAAAAAGAATGTACTATGGAGACAACCAGAGAAGTTAATAGTTCTTATGAGTTAATGAACAGTACACAGAATGAGGAAGACCAAAAATACTGTTACTTACAACTCTAAGTTTTGAAATCTGGACTAGTTTTATAAGGTTAGCTTAAGTGAGGAGATTCATGTTTAAGTTTCAAAATGTTTGTTGAAGTATGCAAACAGTGCAAGATTTCAGTTAATATGTTACTTGAGTGCTGATAATTGGCAAAAAAAAAAGCAAAAACACCCACAAAAACGGACACGGTAATGAAAAACCAAAAAAGATATTTTAAAAGTGGGATATTTCCGAGTCTTATATCATTGAAAGTTAACATTTCTTTACACTGAAAATGTATTTCTGATAGGTACTTGTCTCTACTCACAAAGGTATCTCGATCATCTTTCTGCTCTCTAAGCATTGCTAAAAACATTTTCACACTCAGCACACCAGTCTATATATCCCACCATTTTTGTGCTACTATTGAATATGTATATATATTGTAACTACTTTCCACCAATAGTATTGTGCAACCTATATTGGCACAGCTAGCTCCCTCTGCTATTCCCACTCAATCCTCACTTTTGAGAATTGGCAGGATCTAAAAGAATAACATCAGCAGTGGTAAGGACCTACAGAAAATACATTTTCAGTGTAAGAAAATGTTAACTTCTGATACAGTCTTATCTCCTTTCACACAAAGCTAGAATCCCACATTGCAAAGGTGGAGGGACTGGTGTAGGTGCACAACAATTAAACCAAGCAGAAAGTGACTGCCCAGAATGAGGGGTGTGCTCCAAGATGAACCGAAGAATCCATGTGTGTGGAATGGGAGAATAAAAGGAAGTTTGGTGTCCCAGTGGGTGGAAAAAGCATTGATATGAGGTGTTCACAGCTGAGAACACACCCACTGAAAGACTTGTGGATTGAGAGATCACTCTGTGGGGAGAATCTTGTTAGGTCAAGATAAACGATCTACAACCAGATTCAGGGCATCGGGAACATGACGAGCTACGACCACCATGTGGTGACTGTGGGCCCAGAAAAGGAGATCAAGGGTCTGAAAGCACAGAGACCTGGATTTGGTACCCTCCTTGCTTAGTAACCACTGTGAGTTGTTGGAGTGTACCATAACCAATCTCCCTCACAGGAGAGGAAGGACGGTAGACAAAGCTCAACAGACTGCCAAAAGTTCAAGAATGTTGATATGAAGACTCCTTGACTGACAACAGACTAGAAATCTCCTGGGTGTCAAGGTAAACACCCAAACCCTCTAATGATGCATCTGTGAACAGATGTAAATCCAGACAAGGTGGACCACAGCGAAATCCTTGCTGTGGTCCAATCCCTGTCTAGCCACCAAGCCAGGCCGGCCACGATTGGGGAAGGAAGGGTAAAAGGGTGGTCCAAGGGATCCAAGTAGAAGATCCACTGATCAAGGAGTGTCCACTGAAGGGAACCCATATAAGTTCAACCCATGGAAATGCGAGCTTCCAAGGAAGCCCTCATCCTCAGTAGAGACAGAACCTCTCAAGCTGTAATAGAATGTAAGGTGAGGGCCTTGAGGAATGCTTGCTCCATATTCTGAAGACGAAAAGGAGAAGACTGGGCCTAACTGAGGCTGGAATTTTAAAAAATCCCAAATGAACAAGGTACTGAGTGAGAGAAGGACAAACTTCTCCACCTATATTAGGAATCCCACCCATGCTACTTCTTTTAGGAGCAGATGAGTGTGGTCTTTGCACTGTGAATGGGAAGAAGCAAGCAGGAATCAGTCATCCCTGTATTCATGAGTGCAAGGACCCATCAAGCGAAAATGTTGGGCAAAAGTTCTTATGACCTAACAAAACACGTAAGTAGCAGAGGTTATTCCAAACAGTAGGGCCCTAAACTGGAAAACTCAACTTCTGGCTATAAATAACTACCAACAATGTGGGTACTGTGGGGACAAACCCTGAATTGTACAGTACAAGGAGAAAAATTGAGTTCTAGTATTAAGATAATAGGAAATGTAGCTGAAGTAAAGCTCAGCCTTATGCCTGAGAGAGTAACAAACACACAAGCAATGTAGCAATGCAAAAAAAAAAAAGTCCTATACTGACAAAAATTAGGATTATAAGGTACATATTTAACAATGACAAAAAAAATTATTCAGATAGAACAATGATTTAGATGTTACAGTTATCCCTTGTCATTCGTGGCTGAGAAAGCCACTAGGGGGACATTCTGAGCTTCCAATTGGTTATTCATGTCATATATAGAAGTAAATGTATATGAGGGAGCATTTCCAAAAATGGAAAGAGGTGGGTGGGTGCCACTGTGTTTGATTTATTACATGAGCAATATCTTAGCAAATTGGAAAGATAAGAGGCTCTTATTTTATATTATAGCTTCTCAATATCGGTAATTTGAGTTTGTAATTCATATGAAACTATAGACTTAGTATTTTAACTTCACAAACATCTGATTTGAACCAGTGCTGAATTCAACATATCACATGACACACAAAAATCGATGTTTATCTGTGTTTTTTTAATATTTGCTTTTAAATTAAAAAAATTGACTAATATATAGTACTAAAATTTGAATTACAATCTACAGTTTGATACCAAAGTTATTGATATAAATTCATGGAATAGTAGTTCAATAAAATTTTGAATGCGAGTCAACAAACAAGATGACATGGCCTTTCACCCATGACCCTTCTCGAAAGGGTTAATGCTGCAAGTATATCTTCACAAAATTTGGTAGACTTTTAGTAGAGGTTACAAGTCTTTTGTACACAAAAAATAAGATATTTTACCGAAGTATTTTTATTATAGATTTGTTTGTGAAATCTATCAAATCTGTTTCGTTACCAGTACAGTTGCGAAGCGATTTTCATGTTATAACTAAAAAACTATTGTTCATCCGAAAAATCTCAAATATTATTTGTGTAATCTCTAAAACCTCCTAAATACATTTCAAATGTTTGTTTTCGGTAAAACTTTATATTTTTTCTATTATTTTCTCTACCCTAACTCTGTGGGGTCTGTTAATTTGACTGGCCTCATAACCACCATAAAAAATTAGGAAATAAATTTAAATTATGCTTTTTTTGTTCTATAATCACTACAGATTATAACACAAAAAACACAAATGTTTAGTCTAAATAGCTTAAATCTCATAACATTATACATTTATACATATTTATTATTTTTATTATATTGACCTTCCAGCCATTCCTGGCTAACAATACAGAAGTTACAATGATGCAGCATCCAATAATATAGAACTGGCCTTTAGTCTTTACAAAGTGACCTGTCTTGGCTGTGTTTTAGTGGACTAGTATTTTGTAAAATACAGTCACATTTCAATTATTATACATTATATATGTATATACATTAATACCAGTTACAGATAAAGTATTAAAATATAGAACAGTAAATAAGGAAGTAAAGCAAACATTTATCTCTTCTAGTTACGACCTTTGTACTCGTTTGCTGCTTGACGTAGGTTGCTAAGCTTTATGCAATTTCCCACTTGGAGGATGTGAAAGGTTTTATATGTACATTTTAAATAACCAAAAAAAATCATAAATTACTATATCGATATCATAGAATTCCACAGTGATTTATCAAGCGTAGTAACTAAGCTGTATTTGGGTCTGAATAAATACGAATTTTTGAGCTCACTAAAGACTTACCTTATCATTTGAAATCTTGTGTGAAAAGAATGAGATTAAAACAATAACATGTCAAAATGGCTGAGAAATCCACTAGAAGGACATTCTGAGCTTTTGATTGGTTATTCATGTCATATATAGAAGTAAGTGTACATAAGGGAGCATTTCCAAAAATGGAAAGAGGTGGGTGGGGGGGGCCACTGTGTTTGATTCACCACATGAGCAATATTTTAGAAAACAGAAAAGATAAAAGGTTCTTATTTTATATTCTAACTTGTCAATATCGGTAGTTTGAGTTCCTAATTCATACGAAACTATAGACTTTATATTTTTACATCACAAACATCTAATTTGAACCAGTGCTGCATTCAACATACATTTTTTATTATTACCTTTTAAATTAAGAAATTAACTAATGTATAATACTAAAATTTTAATTATAATCTACAATTTGATACCAAACTTATTGACATAAATTCATAAAATAGTAGTTCAATAAAATTTTGAATGCAAGTCAATAAACATGATGACATGGCCTTTGACACCTGACCCAACGTGATAGGGTTAACAGTAAACAAGTGCTCTAATCAATAAAAAACTACTTGTTAACTTACCATTCTTGAAATCACTCTCAAACATGGATTTTCTTCCAACATAATACCTGTAAGAGTATTATCTCTGAAATCATACTACAAGACTTCTAAAGAACACCATTCTGTTATTTATGTTTAAGATAATATGCTCTAAAAATATTATGGATAACAATAAAAGAAAGTAGGTGAATTACAAAATACAAAGTTACAATCAAGTCTGATTTCCTTCTTTTAAGTATATTCAGTCAAACATTAGTATGTTGAAATGACAGGGACTTTGGCAATTTATTCAAAAAATCAAAACAGCCAATTTGGGGCCTTGACATTAGTTTTGATCCATAATAAATATAGAGTATTACGTACAACAAATGTTTAAGGAAATAGACGGGAAAGAATTCTAACTTTGACATTAGCTATGCATTTGAGATAGCTAAGTTTGACATACCAATATTTGACCCCGTAGTTAAGAAAATGACAATATTTAGTTCTTCATACAAGCTAAGAAATGATCAACTGATTCTTTCAGATGGGACTGCTGATGGAACAAATCAGGGTTGCACAAACAGATTAGAAAACATTTACAATTTTTATAACAGGAAATAAGGGGTCAAGAGTAATAGGTTTTTAAATTCAATTTTCTAAAACTTGAAAATCATAAGTTTTCACCAACTTATAGTATATTATTTATAAATGTTTATGCTTACTGCTGAAATCAAGATTGCTAGAAAGCTCTATAAATTAAAAATCTTTAATGAATGATTATTAATGCATATCTGTCAATAAAAACCTGGATTTTCCAAAATGTCTAAAATGCTATTAGGGCTATTTTTTAAATTAAATAATTTCACTTTAAAACTGATTTTGAAACTTTCTAGCAAAATTTTAGAATATGTAGTAATATTAAAAAGGTCTGGACACCTTATTTCTACAAAAATCAGTAATATTAAAAACGTCTGGACACCTTATCTCTATAAAAATCAGAGATTTTATTTTTATGCCATAATTTTTCTTTTGTTCCAGAATTTTGTAAGAAACTACACAATGGGTATATACACATAACTATCTCTAATTTGGAACTCAAAGTCTCAAAAGAAATCAGCTAGTAATGGTGCCCATTGTCAACTATTGGCTGATTCAACAACAGGATTTAACCATCACTCTTATAGTATAACAATGGCCCCAAAGTGCAGTGTATTTTTTCAGCAGAGGGTAATAAACTCTTAAAACCTACACTCACAATTAGGCCATGCAATTACCATTACAATCCATGTCATTAATGCCACACTCAAGAAATAGTGTTTTAGAGAGGTAAGAGCTTTTTTTTCACTTAGAATCAGTTTTAAAAACCCTTGCATTCCCTACAACAAACTAAGTGGGAAGTTAAAATCTTCTTACCTGTATGTTACAAGCTGAGAAATGCTGAACTGATCTTTTAAGTTGGAACTGTCAATGGCACGAATCAGAGGTTTACAAAGATGGAGTTTGTTTATCTGAAACAGTAATAATTTCAACTCCAATCTTATTTTACAGACTAAAAATATTTGTATTATTTATAAGGCTGACAAAAGTAGAATTAGTTATATAATAACTTTTACTAAATTTACTCATTTATTTTTTAACACCATGATTAAAAACAGTCTACCGATAATTTCAAATTATGATGCCAGAGAAAGCCTGATTACCACTTCAATCAAATGTCCTCTTTGTTAAAACTAGCTTTTTGAGGGTTTTTTATTTTTAGTTTAATTTAGAGGATGGGACAGCCTAGATGGAACAATAGGTCCCTTGTTATCCCTAAACATTATGTTATGATTGTCTTTATTAGGAATCATTTTTTATTGTTAGTTCATGGATTTTAAATGGTCTAAAATTATTATTGAAGTAATCTATGTTTGATTATGGCTTTCAAGCATAATGTCATGCCATATGTAAAGTTGTGTAAATTGATGTATTCTTCAAAATTATACTTCTTCGACAATATAACACTTCAGGGTAGGAAAATGGGTTTTTACACTTTAAATAATAATGATGTTTTTCTTGAAAAATTATGATTATGACTTAACTTTGCCAATTAGATGGGAACCTGTTTGCTTGTACAATGGGATGTAAGTGTACTGTTTTTAAAAGCTGCCCTCATAACACCTAGAAATGGATCATTTTACAGAATGTTATTAAATCTAACATAACTGCTTATCTTACAATCCACATATTCATGACCTGTGTTTAGCAGCATCTCTGTAGTGACTAGAAAATTAATCCACATTAAACTTGTCATAAGTATATTTTTACTCCCAAACATACTTTCCTCAACTTATATACCAAGCATGCAAAATGTCAGTGTTGAAAAAATAATTTAACTCTTTCCCTATAGGCTCAGTCCCAGGGACTGACCTCGTAACCATTTTGTGCTTGTTATATTTTTCATGCTATAACTCTTAACACAGAAAGCATATCTTCATGAAATTTGCAGATTATCAGTAAACATTACAAATGCAAAATATCAGATTTTCTTATTAACTTTTAAGAATTTTTAAGTAATGTTTTTCTCTTGCATTTTTTCTTTTCGAATGTTAACTATCCAACTTGCAAAGTAATTTTGATTTTAAGATTAAAAATACTTTTATGCACCAGGAAATGTTAAAATTTCATATGCAAAATCTTTATAACATTCAGATAATTAACAAATGTCTTTTTTAGAAAAAACTTTATATTTTGTCTGTTATAGAAAACAATTATTTCTTCTAGTTATAAACTGTTGCTGCTTGCCATAAGTTGCTAAGCCTTATAGAATTTTGCATGTGGAGGATGTAAAACAAAATAATTTATTTTTTGGTTTTATACATGCATTTTGAAATATAAAAATCATAAATTACTATATCAGTACCACAGAATTCCACTATAATTTATCAAGCTTAGTAACAAAGCTGTACTTGGGTCTAAAAAAATATGATTTTTCAAGCTCACTAATGTCTTACCTTATGTTTGAAATTTAGCGTAAAAAGAAAGTTTCCCACGCAAATACTTCACAGAGGCTGAGAAAACCACTAGGAGACATTATGAGCTTTCGATTGGTTATGCACATGTATTGGGCAAAGTAAATGTATGTAAGCAAGTATTTTCAAAAATGAAAGAGGTGGGCAGGGCTGCCCTGGTTGATTCAATAAATATATACCTATATCTCATTAAAATAGAAAAGATAGTAGGTTCTTATTTTATATTGTAACTTATAAATATCAGTAATTTGAGCATCTGATTTGTAAGAAACTATAGCCTTTGTATTTGGACATCACAAACATATAAATTGAGCCAATGCTGCATTCAACATATCACATGACGCACAAAAATTGATATTTAAGATTCTTTTTTTGATATTTACTTTTAAATTAAAAAATTAATTAACTTATAATACTAAAATTTGAATTATAATCTACAATCTGATATCAATATTATTGACATATATTCATAAAATAGTAGTTCAATACAATTTTGAATGTGAGATTACAAACACGATGACATGGTCTTTGACCCGTGACCATAGGAATACCCATGTCAGTAGGGTTAAAACACAAGAACCAAAACAAAATTCAGATAGTTTTTTTCTTACTTAATAAATTTATTATTTATTAGTATTTATGACCATCATGTCTGTATCGAAGTGAAGTAGGACAAAATACAACAATGTAACAGTGGCTAGTTTTCATGATCTGACTATCCCACAGAAAGTAACACTAGGGTTCAATTTAGTGCATGTTCTCATCCAGCTTTAGGAATTACAAATTAAAACTAAGTAAATATTACAATTTTTGTAGATATGAAGTATATACTATAGGAAAGAGAGAAATATGGTATTTAACAGTTCCTTTGCTAGAGTAGCCCATATTTTATGGAATCTATTGGAACTGCAAGGCTTGCTTAGGAAATAGTAACTCACCAGACATGTTTTGTGAAAGTAAATAACTCAAGTTAGTAACAGCATTAGAACACTAAAATTACTGCATTTTTTTACTTTTTATCATGCATATGAATCAAAATTTCTGTGCATGAATTTACTCATGTAACAAATTTTGTGTGTGAAATCGTCAGGCTCCCAAATTATTGAGAACCATGATTATTTATAAAGAAATAGATATCTGGTTTCCCACCATATTAAAAACTTATTGATTAAGAAAGATAACTATCTGTCAACTCATATTAAAACAAAAATTGTTCAACTTAATGCTAAGGAATAAGGGATTAATCAGTAAAATAAAAATTACATATTAAAGCTCTTGGAACCCTACATTTATTCAAGAATTAAAAAATCATAGAATTTCTTTAACTTGTGAAACTGTAATATATAATAAGCATAAAAACTAAGCTTTGATAACACATATACAAAAAATTAAACACAATCAGTGTTTCTTACCTTGAAATAAATTTTGAACAACTGGTTTACTAAGTTTAACATACCCCACCGTTTGGAGTCTTCTTGAGACGATCGACTGAAAATAAATTTTGTTTAATTTCAAAGTTATTTATTTTAGCCACTAAATAATCAGTAAAACAATTCTTGATTATATATATAAATATATATATAAACAAGAACAGAATATCAAGCAAAAACCTTAAGCACGGGTTAACACTACAACATATTAGAATTCTTTAACTGAAAAACATCATCAACCCTGTCCTGCCAAGTATTGTGAGTTTAATGATATATATTAAAACCAATTTACCCTAATACATTTGCCTTATAAGTCCAAGTTATTTTTCCTAAGCTTGTCATTCAAAAAAGAAGCTAAAATGCATTTTCCATTGATTTTATATATTTGTTTGGTTGATGATATCAGTTTAGAACAGATAAAAATTGTGAAAAATGCTAAACCTAGCTTAGTCTGTGGCTCTGAACAGCTTGTAAACAAAATATAATCTAACAAAGTGATGATCTTTTGGATATTCCTCACATTGCATTCAATATTCAAAGGTTTTTCCTCCTTTATACATGTTTAGGTTTTAAAAAGTTTGTTTATACACAAAAACTTTCTACAAATGTACATAACTATGATGGTCTCTCTATTTAATGGGTTAAATTTACCTTCCAAAAAAAAATTTAATGTTTGGTAAACTTTATACTTTCAGCTATTGGATTACTTTAAATTCACATAACTTGCAAACTCACCCACAGCACTGCAACAAAACAACAAACAGAAAAATCAAAGTAATCCACAAAGAACTTTAACCCAATTTTTGGGTTTGTTACATAATCATGTCAAGATGAAACATGCCATGATAAATTATGTTAATTCAATACAAGTACATTCAACCTACTGATGAAAAATTAGCAAAAAGACTTAATTTTAGAGTAGAATGCCCAACAGTAATATAGACTTTGAAATGGCAGTAATTATAAGCTATAAAATATCTTATGCTTGTCTGATGTTAAAAATGACCAAAATTTCAAAAGATTTCTTATTCATGAAGAAAGACGAATGAGGAAAAGTAAATCATTTTTACTCAGTACTCATGTATCATATTATCCCCGAGTTACATTAATTCCTTTACCATTATTTTAAAATATGTACAATTTCTTTAATATGTATCCTGTGAAGTCTTTACTAAATTGTGTTTCATAAAAAAAAATAAATACCTAATTGAATTTTCAGATGTCAAAATATCAAATATCTTTTGAAATTGGCTATTTTTAAGCAGTTTGTTTGTTTGTTTTGTGATTTCGCGCAAAGCTACACGAGGGCTATCTGCGCTAGCCGTCCCTAATTTAGCAGTGTAAGACTAGAGGGAAGGCAGCTAGTCATCACCACCCACCGCCAACTCTTGGGCTACTCTTTTACCAACGAATAGTGGGATTGACTGTCACATTATAACGCCCCCACGGCTGAAAGGGCGAGCATTTTTGGTGGGATGCGGATTCGAACCCGCGACCCTCAGATTGCGAGTCGAGCGTCTTATCCACCTGGCCATGCCAGGCCTTTTAAGCAGTTAACACTAATTTGTTTTATTTTATAAGGAAAAACCCTTAGCAAACATTACTATAGTATCCCAGTTGTATTGGAACAACCTGGTTTCAGAAAGATGTTAAACATCAAGCAATATATTCAAATTGAAACAAGCTTTCTAAATAATCAAAATCTAAAAAAACTAGTAGACTGAAGTCTAAGTATTTTCAATTATAATATACAATTAAAATGATAAATCAACATAATTTTGTAAAATACTTCATCAAGTCTCTGGAATTGTGATTTATTTACTTTTCTTTTCATTAACATGTTTTTAATAAATACATACACTTGCATATGGCCTTAAAACTACTTTTGTCAATATTCAACTTTTAAAGAAATAATGTATAAAAGAACAGTAATTAGATAAAATTGTACTTAAACTTTTACATTTACTTAGTAGCCTTAAGATCTGAACCTGACCTCAGAGATTACCTATATCTACCATCATTGAAAATACAAGTCATATACAAGAAAGTAGTATTACTTATGTTGTTAATATAAATAAAAACATCTAAATAGTAAATTTTGAGTAGACACACAAAAAAACTTATATGAATCAAACTTTTGGAACAACCACTGTCACCTGTAAATGATTACAAACTTTAGTTAGCACACTTACTTATCACTAGCACAAACTCTGAAACAGCCCATTAGTAACTCTGCAGCTTTTTCAAGTGTTTCTCCTGGTTTACCTTTACCTCTTTTTGAAAGCTGTAAGTCTGCCTGTAGAAAAAAAAAACAAATTAAAAATGGATACAGATTTGACTTTTTGAAATACTGATAAAGCAAATTTCATTCCTTTATTAAAATTGGAAAGTTATCAAAACAGATTTACTGCAAAAAATGACTAAAATGACTTAGTTTCTTTCTCTATATTCTATAGTAATTAATTGTTACTGATTATATACTGTATCAATATAAAAATCAGTACTCAAACACAAAATGAAAGTCAACCTCATTACTGAAACTAATGGGTCATCACTGTGTATTAATAAAATGAAGGTTCATACACATCAAACAAAACAAATTCCATGATTTTATTAAAAGGACTTCTTGTTAATTTTCCATGACTGAAAGTTATTTTCTGTGGGACATCTATCATATTTTTTAACTATTTTGCAAATATATCAATAAAATTGACAACACTTGCCATGCAACTGAGTAAATGTTTTATTTTTTATGAAATAGCACACAAAAAACAACAAAGAAAAGAAATAAATGCAAAATCATTACAAGTAGTATGCAACTTTCTATGTTACTTTAATACTCCTCTAACAGACTTTTTAAACATCCCACTTCATGATCACCAGTCTCAATGTCATTTTTCTCTTGCATATTTCCTCAATGCATTCAATTTCACAAAAAGCATGATCTTGTTAAGTTTTCAGCCTCTTCCTCCAGAAATTTGTCGAGTCAGCAAGGAACCTTTTCCTTTTCTTAGCAAGATTGTCCAACTCATCTTAAAAAGTCTTGAAATTTCTTCTTTATTTATATTATTTTGTACTTTCATCTCCTTCACTAGATACATATGGTATTTCTGTCTGCCTTTATCAGATGTCAGCACAGCTTCATTGACAATGACCTCAGGAAACATTCCCAGCAGTTTAGAGAATGACTATTTTATGTTTTCAAAAATGATTTGTTGGTTGAGACAAATAATTCCTTTCAACACTGGCTTGGCCAGGAGACAGAATGAAGAAGCTTTTCAGAATACTTCAGATCCAGCTTGCTGTTTTTCCTCCATGAGCTCACAGAGTAAATAACCAAGACAGTCTGCTCTGATTTCATGAATGAAGATGGTGGAAGTTAGTTAACAACTATTTTTCATCAGGATCTCAAATAAACTGCTGTGCCAAAACATTGACCACCCAATTATTCTGCCTTTCCTTACAGCAACTCAGACCATTGCTTGTATTTTTAATACTTGTTCAGATTATTCAAAAGTAACCATACATTTATTTTTTTGGAAGAGTTAAAAAAACATTATCTTACTACCATAATAATTTGCTGTTATAATCATTAATAAATTTATAATTATTATAATTGAACTTGGACATTTTGAAAGGACTAAAAACATTTGAAAACTAACCCATTCTTATTGCATCCAAACTGGAATTGTTACTACTTAGCCTAGTTGACTTTTTAAAATGGGACAGAGAAGATGTTTATTAGTAGCACTGTTCACCACCTCAAAATATTTTTGAGGCAAAATATGACTTTTCAGAGTAGCTTTACTTGCATTATAAATATCTATTGATTTGAGACACAAATGACTTTGAGCTTCTCTGATCAGTAATCTTAAATGCTCAATCAATTTTTTATAATTATTTTAGATTCCATACACATATTAAAATATGCATGTATCAGGCATTTTCACGTATTAGTTATCTTATGAGAATTTGTAGTCTGAAACTCTGGAAGAATTCCAGTTATCTTCAGTAACAATCAGATTTTCCCATAAGAGTTAAATCTAATTTAAGCTCAACAGTTTTTTATGAAAATATATATATCAAGACTATATTCACATTACTACAGAATATACCCAATTTAACATCTAGTTTTATTTACTTTCTTGATCGTTATTTTCCAAAATTTTGTCAAGCCCTAAAAGTGAGTACTACATCAGTCATGACAGTCAAGGCCATATATGCCTATTATACAAACTGTCAGTAATCAATTCAGCTATACAACTGTGATATGTGACTTGTTTTTGTACAAAAAACAAAACTAAGTTGACAAAGTTAATGAAAACAAGAAGCTTGTAAAAAAAATTTAATATGAAAATATACTGTTAATAAAAAATAGGCAGTAAGTACCTTTTTTCTTAAAATTCTATGACTTCCCATTACTTTAAAAAAATACTATGACTTTCTAAACTTACAAAATTAAATTTAAGAATTCTGTGATCTTCCAGGACTTCCAAGACCCCAACAAATACTGTAGTTCCATATTTGTGTACAGGTTTAAACTAATTTCAATTGTAATTCAAATTAATCCAGGAAATAAAGTATAATACAGCTTGATTTTAATTTTTTAAGATGTTCTGATTGTTTAGCTTCAAGAATCATTACAAACCTAATTTCTATTATGAGTAATCTAGTATATTAAGACTGTTTACAAAATCTTAATGTGTATAAACAAATAAGTGATTTAAAAATAATTCAACAAAAATTCCAAAATTTGTTAACCCTAAATTTACTTTCTGCTATATTATATATAGACTTGACTGTGTTATCATTTATTCAAATGTATAGCAAAATAACTTTACAATACATCAAAAATGAACAGATAATATAAATTTATTTTTTTAATTTCAACCAAATAGCAATAAACACATAGTCCCTTATGTTTCCCAACTAACTTTTTCAAAGAACAGTAGCCAAGCCCTACTCTAATGGTGGAGCATCAAAGTTCTGAAATTCAAACCTCTTTAAATATTACAATTAAAAATATACGAGTTATGTTGTTATAGGTATAAATACATTGAAACTGTGAGTAGAATAATATAGAAACTAAAATTCTAAATAAAATACTCTCAATCAAAGGTCATCTTGGACTAAATAAAAGAAAGATGTTTTAAGAAAAAGTAGGTCTTCAATCACAATAAATGAATGTATCAAGCAGTTTAGATGCACAGACCATGGTATGAAACTTCCAGAATGGCATTAGAATGCAACCTTGACTAGTGTGAAATACAGATTTGCTGAACCAAAGTAATGTTTGCATTATGGATATTTTATTCTTATTTAGGATTTATCAATTTAGCTTTCATCACATCATTATAAATAACTCAAAATGATTTCAAGCTTTATTTTTCAATGTTGTTAGGTGTCTTTGACAAAAAAAGGTTTTATGCT